GTATAAACAGCTACCAAAAAAAAAAATTATTGTGACACTGGGGCAGGAGAGTAACACAAAAAGAATTCTTGCCAACAGATCACTTCTGCTCATTGTTTCCCTTTCCTTGGAAACCTGGGAGGGAGGTCATACTTTGGCTTTTCCTGGATGAAGTCACATATGCAATAGTTATCGCTGGGGAAAATTCCTAATGTTTTATGAAGATGGTGCTATGTGACAGCAAATCTGAAGGCAGAGCTCAGGGAAGGGCACAGAGGAAGTGGGAAAACCATGGATCTCGTCACAGGAAAGATGTAGTACCTGACCTGGAGTGCTAACACATTTCCAGGGGAGGCTGCACACAAGCACATTTTGGGGCCTGTTAGCAAACCTCTATATTTCACTTTTTCACTTCTTTTTTATTAACTATGCAAAGGTGACCAATCAGTAGTGGAAGAAAGGTTTTCCTAAGGCACTGCATAACTCCTCTTACCTTCCAGGAGGTAGCATGAAAGAATTCCAGCAGCTTCTTGTTCTGTAGTTATCCTTTCCTTCCTTCATACACCCAGGGGAATCAATCCTGCATTAAAAAAAAAAATGAAGAAAAAAAAGGAGGATTCCTATGAATCTGCCATCCAGACAAATTACTGAGATAACAGATGCAGAAAGAAAGGTTTTCATCTTTCTCTTACAACCTTCACATCACCTACTGTTTCAGCTCAGTCACCAAAGCTTTCACTTCTCTCTCACTGTTATACTGAGATAATAACTCAATTCAACTTGTAGTATCATGCAAAACCTTTGAGATGCCCTCTGTTAAACAAGAGGACTTGTCTAACTACAAGCCCTCAAAATGTTTTTGAAGTCACAATCAATGCTTTGTGTGATAAACTGGATGAAAATGGCTCTTTCGATTTCAGAAGTAAGAGAAATGCCAATTGACAGGGAATTTTTGTGCTCTCAATGCATCTTTTTCTTCCTATTTTCTGATAAGCAACTGCATTAATTTAGTACTCAAAATAAAAGTATCCAACAACCTAAATGAAAGCATGTGCATGTCTCAGTATGAATGAGACTTTATTATGCTTTGCTGCCTTAGAACATGCAGTGTCTCTTGTTCTTTTGTTAATATCATTTTTTGTCCATAAATTCTCAGTAGAAAGAAAAATTAAACCAAGGTAGATGACACCTAAATACAAGCAGCAGCAGAGAAGCTTCAGAACTCTTTTCAAAGCATAGGGAAAAACAACAACAAAAAAATTAAAAGCATTCTTTTCTTCATAAGAGATCACCTTACATAATACTGCAAGTAGAAGTCCAGTTCTTCAAATCTGCTTGAAATCACTGCAGCCCTACAACCTTCTCTAGAATCACACTCACTTGCACCAGTAGAGGTTTTGACTACAAAGCAAATCTAAATGGCTTTGCTGTCACTGAAAACAAAACCTATTGCAAGACCCTCACAACAAAACACATACAGGTATGAAAATGGACAAGACGCTAAGAGACAAAATATTCAAAGTCATTTCACCATGCATATTTACAGTCAAAGTTTTAAAACTGACATGGAGATTTTAAGGGAGGCCAAAACCTTGGGATTTCACGTAGCTCTCTAAAAAAGCAAAAGGTACCATTCCTCAGATTCAATTCTTGTTCAGGTAAATGCAAGACCAATTCCAGGTTTAAGTCTTTGCCCTTCGCTAAACTCCAAGCGCCTTTTTCCTCTTCTGTGAGTATTTCCACAGAAAGGCCTACCCTACACACCATCACTATGCACTGCAAAAGCAGATCAAAATGCGAGCTGTCATTTTCTTGCCTTGTATCACTGCTGAGCATCTCACACACATCAGTACTTGGCTGACATTTCAGCCTTAATGTGCTGCCAGAGAGGAGATCCTCACAAGGTGGTAACATGACAGGATTCAGCACAGAAAGAGTGTGTTTTACACTCTGTCACTCCTCATCACCAACAGAGAGTGAAAGCCTGACTTGGCTTCTGCATCCAGCCTGAGCAATCCCAGTGTGTAAAGCAGTCATGCTTCTAAACTTCACTAGCAAGAGCAAGACATTGACCTGGGAATGTGATTGCAGCAAAGGAAATTCTCACCAGATTCTTCCTGGTGGGGGTGGTGGAGTGCTGAGGCAGGAGCCCAGGCAAAACGAGGAAAGAGTTTTTTCTAACTGCAGCTGGATAAGGAAGGCCTTGCACAACCTCATCCAGCCTGGGAATGGTGAACCCCTGGGGCTGGACTAGAGACCTCCAGAGGTCCCATCCAGCTGAATTACCAGATGTTATCAATTAAAGATTGCATTCAACCTAGTACAGAAAAAACCCCACCAACATATTAAATCAGCAGGAATGTGTTTTACATGTCTTGGCCCTGACATTTATTTGCTTTTAATAATGTCTAAAAAAAACCTACTGAAAGAGCAGAGCTTTACTACAGTAAAGAGCTTGGAAGGGCACTAACATCTTGCGGGTTTTGGCTGCTCTAAGCAGCTCTTTCCACAGTTCTTTATCCAGGGCTGGCAGTGATAGCTCAGTTTCTTCATGAATTGTATCTACTGAATACATCTAAACGTTTTGATGCTAAACAGTATGCATCATGCACTTCCAAGCTATTTACAAGCCACAGACCTCTCTTAACACATTCACTCCTACCTCTACTGGGTCGGGTTTCCTTGCTCATCAGGGATCATGTTCTCCAGCTGATGGCAGAAGAGAGACAAGCTGAGATCTGTTCCGCGTTGCAGAGCTTCAGCAGTTTTACAGCACTCTCTGCTGCCAAAGAGCAGAATCAGATCAGAAATAAGAACACGCTTGAAGATAACGTTCGAGCAAACGTTATCACTTTATACAGACAGACACTCCCCCCAAAAATACTCTGCAGTGAAAAGAGGCAGATAATGAAGCCCAGATCCATAATAGGGATTAATCTCCACACTTTCCACAGAGCCACATTTGAAACTGATCTATGCCTGGGTACTACAGGTGCAAATCAGTCCAGAAATACCAGATTACTGTTTCCAAGGAACAGTCCCATACCAAAGTGCAATCTTTGCAGAGCTGAACCATTTTTGTTCTATGCAGTACTTTTTAACACCTGGCACTACACAGACCTTCTCTTTGGTATTCTGAATTCTTCTTTTCACAGAATCACAGGCAGGGTAGGTTGGAAGGGACCACAGTGGATCATCTGGTCCAACCTCCCTGTTCAAGCAGGGCGATCCCAGAGCATCTGGCATAGGATTATGTCCAGATGGTTCTCCAGGAGGGAGACTCCACATTCTCTCTGGGCATCCTGTTTCCATGCTTGGCCACATTAAAGAAGTTGTTCCTCCTGTTCAGGTAAAACTTCTTGTGCATCAGTTTCTACTCAATGCCTTCATGTTCCATTGCTTGGCACCACCGAGCACAGCCTGACATCTTCCCTTCAGTTATTCATGGACACTGATGAGGTCCCCTCTCAGTCATCTCTTCTCAAGGCTGAACAGACCCAGCTCCCTCAGCCTTTCCTCATAAGAGAGACACTGCAGAGCCTTAATCACTTTTGTCACCTGTTGTTTCTCCAGCAGGTGTCAGGGTAGTTAAAGTCCCCCAGGAGAACCAGGGCCTGTGACTGTGAGGCTGCTTCAGGCTGTCTGTAGAAGACCTCAAGCACTTTCTCCTTTTCAGGTGGCCTGTAGCGAACACCCACAACAGTGTTACCTCTATTTGTCTGCCCTTTTTTCCTAACCCATGAGATCTTGACTTGCTTGTTGTCCACCCAAAGGCAGAGCTCAATACATTCCAAGTGCTCTCTCACAGAGAGGGAAAATCCACCACCGCACCTTTCTGGTCTGTCTCTCCTAAACAGGGCATTGCCCTTCATGACAACACTGCAGTCATGCAAGCTATCCCACCATGTCTCTGCAATTGCAGTGAGATCAAAGCCCTTTCACTACACGTCTCTAGTTCCTCCACTACATTAGGAAACAACATGTGCTTCAACTTTAGAAAGAAAAAAGGATGTATAAGCATGTGGCCTCCCAGATCCATGGGAAATAATCCTATTGCACTGAACTGGTGGTCCCACAAACTATTCAGGTTCTAAAAATTCCTTACTATGAGTAGAAAACCAGAAATGCCATACACAGAAGAGCAATTCCACATGGTTCACAGGACAGCTCAGTAAAATACAACTTTACCCCTATTCCAGCAATGCCTGGCCCTGCACAAGCCATTACTCACAAAATGACTCTGCAGCCGCATGTAGTTGCATCAACAATATCAGGTTATTTGTAACCTGATTGTAACCAGTATGCAGAGATATTTTATAGGCACATGGACAGCACAGCCCCCTCTCCCAAAGCTGCACCAGGCGAGGTGTAGCACCTGAGTGCTGCATCCCTCAATGCCTCTCCCTGTCACGCCACCCTCACGCAAAGGGCAGCCCAGATCCCGATGGGAGGGTTATGGGATGCTTGCACTCTTTCACAGCAGTCAGTGTGGATGGGCTTTCTTGTACAGACATGTATGAGCCAGCTGTGTGCCAATGGCATTTTGGCCTGTTTCAGATATAGCACGACCAACAGGACTAGCGAAGTGATTCTTCCTCTGTACTCAGCACTGGTGAGGCCACGTCTCAAACACTGTGTCCAGTTCAGGGCTCCTCAGTTCAGGAAGGCCATTGAGGTGCTGGAGCAGGTCCAGGGAAGAACAATGAAGCTGGTGAAGGGTCTGGAGCACAAGCCTTATGAGGAGCAGCTGAGCGAGCTGGGGTTGTTCAGCCTGAAGAAAAGGAGGCTCAGGGGTAACTTTATCACTCTCTACAGCTTCCTAACAGGAGGTTGTAGCCAGGTGGGGATCACTCTCTTCCAGGCAACCAGCAACATGACGAGAGGACATAGTGTTAAGCTGTGCCAGGGGAAGGTTTAGGCTAACATTAGAAAGAGTTTCTTCACAGAAAGGGTGATTAGACATTGGTTTAGACCGCCCAGGGAGGTGGTGGAGTCACTGTCTCTGGAGAAAGAAAGATTGGATGTGCCAGTCAGTGCCCTGTGGTCTAGCTGACAGTGTGGTGATAGACGACAGACCAGACGGGACTATCTCAGAGGTGCTTTCCCTAATCATTTCCGTAGGCAGACACACATTCATACCCAGCGCGGCCCCCGCCCCGCCCCGGCCCGGCCCCGCTCCGCCCCGCCGGCATTGCGGCGCCGGTGCCGGTCATGGCGGCGGCAGCGCGCCTGTTCCGCGGGGCTGCCTGGCGGCCGCGGGAGCGCTGGGCGGGCTGGGGCTGGCGCTGGGGCTGTGGCGGCGGCAAGCCGCGTTGGCGGCGGCTCGGGAGGACGAGGAGGAGAAGGAGCTGCGGCAGCGGTTCATGGCGCCGCCGGTGAGCGGGCTGCGGGAGCTGCGGCGGCGGCGGCGGGAGCTGCGGAGCCGTATGGAGCTGCTCATCATGGAGACGCAGGCGGAGGTGTGTCGCGCCCTGGCCGACCTGGACCCCGGTGCCTCCTTCGCTGTTGACAGCTGGGAAAGAAAGGAAGGTATGGAGAAGCCGCGGGGGAGACCGCGGATACCGGCACCCCGGGTTCGGTCACCCCTCGGTGACCCTGACCTGGAGCCTGGCGTTGGCAGGCGGAGGCGGCATCAGCTGCGTGCTGCAGGATGGCGAGGTCTTCGAGAAGGCGGGTGTGAACGTGTCCGTCGTGTCCGGGCTTCTGTCCGAGGAGGCAGCGCGGCAGATGCGGAGCAGAGGGAAGTCTCTGAAGGCCAAGGACGGTAAGGCGTCTGTCGCGCAGCTGGGATGGGGAACCGGGACGTGTTCACCTGAGTATTCCCGTTCAGGTGCTCTGAAAGCAACCTGGCCTTTGAGCAGAACATGAGGAAGGCCAGACTGGTGAAAGTTCAAAGGTTTTCATTTGAACCATAGTGACTTCTAATCAGTAAGCCTGATAGGTGGATTTTCATGTCCCTAGAAAGCTACGTACGGCAGTGCTTCGCTCTGTCTTGCTGCTATGAGGAATGTATTGTCGGCACATGTGGCTTCTCAATAGTGACACTGTAACGCAACACTGAAACAGTGCAGGAATTATGTACCAGCGAGGTAGAGGGAGAAAACCAAAAACACCTGTAGGCTAAAGGGTACTCAACACACCTTTGTGTAACAAAGGGTAATTGTGAGGACTGGGGGTGGTAGAAAGCAGTGCCTTATGGTTTAAGTGGTCTTCATCTAGTGGGTTCTCCAAAGTATTGTCATGTTTTAGATCAAATACCAAAGAAATAAGTGAGTTAGGTGTACAGAAGTGTATGGATGAGAAGTAACTTGCCCACTGATTAATAATTATGGTGACCCAACGTGAGACAGTTTCTTGTTGTGATTTGGAGCGTAAGGGAAAATGTTCCTTAAATGATAACAAATGATGTTTATTGAAAAACTGAAGGGTTTTTTCTGTGCTTCTTTTTATGCAGGGAAGCTGCCTTTTTGTGCCATGGGTGTGAGCTCTGTTATCCATCCAAAGAATCCTCATGTTCCAACCATGCACTTCAACTACAGATACTTTGAAATTGAAGAAGCAGATGGTAAGGATTATAGTCCAGTGAGGAATGTATGAAATGCCCCAAGGAAGTGTGAATGCATGGCTGGGGTAAGAGATAAGAACTGTGCGAGTTTGCTCCCAGCTATGTCGAGTCACCAGCCCATCTTGTGAAACTGCTGTCCTATAGTCAGGATCAGTGGTCCAAAATGGTTTTCACTACATTGAAGTTTGTTTCATCTCTTCCTGGAGTCACTGATCATTGCACTACCTTGTAGGCAAATTTTTCACTAGTGAAGTTTAGGGACGCCACTGAAAAATGATGTTGTTTTGTATTGTAAAAGTAGTTGTTAGTTCTTGGTGAACCACTAGCAACAAGTTGCTGTTCAGAAGTTTAAAAGAAAAATGTTGCTTGCCTCTGCTATAGGAACTAAACAGTGGTGGTTTGGTGGTGGGACTGACCTCACTCCAACTTACCTGAATGAAGAGGACGCCATTCATTTTCACAAGACTCTGAAAGAAGCCTGTGACAAGCATGATCTGAAGCTGTATCCCAAGTACAAGAAATGGTACGTGGATGAAGGTGTGCTTGGGGGGAGCAGAAAGCAGCACTAGGTGTTGGCAGTTAAGTGTACGCTAGGAACTGTAGGTTCTGCTGCCTTTTGAAAAGTATCAGAAAGCCATAATGAAAATCAGAAGTGTACTGGGACAAAATGTTGTCTAAAGAAATATCTTATTTACAGAATCCTGGATTTTTCAAGTTGGAGGGCTGACAACTAGGATCGTAAGTCTATAGCCCAAAGAAAAACCGTCAAGGTTTTGTTGCACTAGGCAACTTAAAATTCCTTTTAGCCTCTGGTGTTGAACTAGGACAAGACTTCTGCCCCATGGACTTGTACCAATTCTGTTTACAGTGAACTCATGGTAAATGTGCATGATTCAGTGTGAGCTCTTGGGCCATCACACCAGTTTTGAAAATCCCACTTTTGTTTTTCTGCCTTCAGTCTGGCCTTCATAGCCAGGTAATTTCCAGGTATGTGAAGTACATTGTCCTTAATGTAGAAGCTTCATAGTTTGATGAAGCTGTATTTTTTTTCTCTGGTGACACATTCACTGGGAGTTCAACAGCACATTTTCTAAGATGCAAACTTTGAATGTTCTTGAGCTGAGAGATGGGATCTTCCACTACCAAGTGGGAACTTGCTGTTCTGTGTCTGATAATCCTATCTGCCACAAGCTGTGTATGCAGGAAGGTGGGGGTACCCTTTTGTAAGCTATTAGGTCTTGTCTGAGGACAGGAGATAAAGTGGGTGTTATAGTTTGGGTGGCAACCATTTAGTAGAGAGACATATCGTAGAGCCTTGAGATTATAGTCTTGCTGTCTGAGGATTTTTTGCATGGTAGTTTAGAGAATCTACCTTAATGGTCTGGTTCTTTGCTACTTACGTAGGTTAGCAATGCCAGCTGCAGGGGGTAGGCCTTTTCCCACTTTGCTAAAGATAAACATTATTACACTTACCACACTGTCTACCTGATCTAAATTAAGATTTTTTGCCAGGATTATTCTCTTTTATGTTTCTGACTTGGTGTTTTTCCCTAACTTAAACACTGATTATCCCAGTGAATAAGAAAATAGTATAGGTTATCTGTTACATCTCCATGTCTCTCTTGTTATGGCCATGCCATATATAATGCTTGAGAACAATTGTGGATATATGGAAAACTGGTCCCATATGGAAAACTAGTCCTAATGGAAGGGCCAGGTTTTCTTGATGTTGATGGTTCCTGCTTCCTACTTCCCTTTGCTTTCTCCTCTGTGTGAAGACTTGCACGCTCAATCAAGGAATTATAGATAGAGTTAAATCATTCAAGTTACAGTAATTTCACAAATAAATACTCCCTGTAAATACAAAAGAGATTAATTGCTTTTAGGATAAGCTGCCCGTACTAATTTATAAACTTAAACATGAGTCATGAAAAGCCACTGCTCTAATGACTCAGTCTTTCAAGTTCTAACTATTAAAAAGCCTTTTTCCAAGGAAGGGTGCTGTGACAGTTTCTTTCTTATCTGGTCTTGAGGCCTTAGATTACTTGTGTTTTGATGAAGAAAATTCTTTTACTTGGATGGCGAACAGAATAAATTCTGTAAATAAACTCTTCCAAGTTTGAGTTCATATGAAAGCTGTCCAAATAATTTGAGAACTACATATAATGCTGGGAACGGAATCTATCAAGAGCCCTTAGTTTTTAAAGTTTTGAAATCAGATGTCCCTGTTCCGAGTAGATAAAGGACATGGATTGGATCAACCTACATGGATGCATCTGCCATGGTGTTCAGCAACTTTGTGGTGATGTGTAGCTTTACAGAGAGCATTTAATCAGAGCTTTTACTGCAAGTGACACGGGAGTGCTTTCCCAGTGATGCTGCACTGTCCTGCCTCTGGGCAGTCAGGGAAACAGTGGGGCACCCAGCCCTGCAGAAACTGACTTGTGGGCAGTATTTCACTGGTTCTGTCCTGCAGCATGCAGCTCTTTGGAGCACTGTTCATGTGTTTGAATACTCTGGACCATATTAGTAATCATCTGATGCTGCTTCTAGGTGTGACGACTACTTCTACATCAAGCACCGTGGTGAGCGGAGAGGGATTGGAGGCATATTCTTTGATGATATGGACTCTCCCTCCAAGGAGGAAGTATTCCAGTTTGTAAAGAGTTGTGCCAAAGCTGTCGTGCCTTGTTACATTCCCATTGTGAAAAAGCACTGCCATGACTCCTTCACACCAGAGGAAAAGCTATGGCAACAGCTTCGGAGAGGACGGTGAGTACTGGAGGAACAAAAGTATACACAGGAGGTGGACTGGGCTGGCAAGAAAAAAAAAAATGAGCTAGTTTCTTTATGGTTACAGGTTGTGTGGACCAAAAAAGCTCACCAAGATTTTCAGCATGTTTGTGCATAGAACTAATTCTGAAATCCAATGCTGGATTGCCAAAGAGGGTGCAAAGAACCCATTTCCCACTCTTCCATGTTGTAACACAAGCAACCCAAACAAAGCACCACCATTTCTTTTCAACTCCTTCAAAGAGCAAGAAAAGAAGAACAGGCCAAGGGGTGTGGGTGTGCTTCATGTCCTCAATCCTGCCCTCTCCTGCAGCCCAGAGATACTGGATATAGGGCTGCCCTGTCACATGAGGAGCTAAGGGTGAAGGAATGGTGGCTTCCTATTAAGTAATGCAAGAAAACCTCACAAAGTCAGGAAGTAACTGTACTTGAGTACTTTCAGCTCCTTATGTGCATATTTATTCCATCTGATCTCAGCATTGAAATTCCGGTAAAGGAATTGAGGATACCTGTAGAAGACTTAGGAGGATGCTTGTTAAAGTCACCAACTGTTAATGCTGCAAAAGCTTAAATACATTGGTCAATACAGTTTACTCTGTTCTCCATGGCCTGTGAGTGTCTGAGCATACGGAGAATTGAAACTATGCTTTGTGCTTAACTAGAGTCTTCAGTTTCTGCCTGTTCTTCAGAGAAATGTGAGACTGGCATGGAGAGTGTAACCATTCAAGTTCAGATCACTGGCCTGCAGCTGCTGGTCACTTAAGCAAGTGTCCTTAATTTGGTGGGACTGTCCTTGGGAACATCTTTCAGGATCCAGTGTGTGAATGGGATTTAGCAAACCTGCAAAGTTTAAAAGGGGGAATAGCTTTTCTGAGCAGCCAGGACCAGCTTGAGGCCTGTCTATTTCCCTGGGTCTGTTTGCAGGTTATGGTGCTATGTAAAGCTTTCCATTTCTGCACATAGATAAGAGCTTTTCCCTTCCTGTATCTTCAAGTACAAATGCCCTGTACTGGCTCTCGAGATAACCCGTGATGAATTGTCACAGCTCTAGTCCTCTGCTGGGAGCAGAAAATGGTCTATTTCATCACTTACAAATCCCAGCCAGGACTCTGAAGCTATCTGACTTCTGCTGTTCCCAGATCTTCCCAGGAACCAGGAAATACTGTTCTAGCCTTGCTGCTTATGTATCCTTCAGCATGGAGGACTGCACAGTAGGATTTTTTGTCTGGTTATTTTCAGTACCTTTAAGGCCTCTCTTTATTACACCCCCACAAAGAAGAGAAGAACCAAGGTAAATGTAGTGTCGAGCTTGCCAGCAGGGCTGAGGCCTGGGAGGAATACAGTACAGCACAGGAGCCTGCAGACTGCTCTCCTTTCAACAGTTGGTCTGCTCCAGTTCTTAGCCGAGGTCGCTTCTCACAGTGCTCTGTGGAGTGGCAAGGTCACACCCACGTTCCTATGCAGAGGATGCTAAAGAACAGTTGACCCCAACTCAGCAGAAAGACAGACTGGTTTTGTTTGACGTCTGCCATTTGAAGAAAACACAACCAATTTCTGCTAATAAACCAGTTTTTTTTCTGTTGCATCTTTTCATTCCTGTAGGTATGTAGAGTTCAACTTGGTTTATGACAGAGGTACAAAGTTTGGCCTCCTGACACCAGGATCAAGAATCGAAAGCATTCTTATGTCTCTGCCACTGACTGCGAGGTAAGGGTGTGGTTATGTGGGGTTGCAGCCCACTGTTCTTAGTAAAATACTTAATAGGATTAAATGAAAGGTCTCTCCTGGTCTCCAGTCTCTTAACAGTGGAGAGTTCATGCCTGATACAAGAACTGGACAAGTACAGTTCTCTATTCTACAAATGCAGATGCTTCTCCATTGTACTCACCTAATTGCCAGTAGTATGTGGCATAGAGATTTTCTGGTAAAAAAAAAAATTATAGTTTTTGTGCTTAGTTCCTCTTGATAGATTTATTGTTCTCGCTCTATGGGTTTATGTTTAGTAGCCCTTAGAAACCATGAGAGCTTCTGGCAGTCCTGCCAAATGTGTGGCAAGGAGCTCCATGGTTTAACTAACTGTGTGTTGTATGAGAAAGTACCTCTTTGTTTTCTACTTGAACTTTTCACTGAGTAACATGATTTTCTTCCTGTACAGGCTTCTGGGGGTTTTTCATTGTTTGTTTTCCAGGCTGACAGTTTGTTTTCCTGCTCTTTTTAGTTTTTTGTACAGTTGATGTTTCATACTTTTGCCACTTTTGCTAGGCTTAAGTTTTCTGTGCCCTTTCTGAACTGGGGATAAGGAAGGGACAATGTAAGCTACGTACCTGGATACAAGATGCAGGTGTGCTCCTGACTCATAGTGGCATAGCAGTATTTTAATTAATTATTCTTTCCATAATCCTAATATTCTGTTTGCTGGTTTTGACTGCTGTTCAGCATTGAGGTGGCTTTTTCATAGAACTGTTAAAATGCCAAGGTCTTTCTGGGCAATACAATTTAACTCAATCTGTATGCAACTTTTTTCTGTGTCCATCACATCAATCAACAGTGAATTTCCTGCCATTTTATTACTCAGTTGCTTGGATAAATACTGTTTTTAACTGTCCTTTTAGGTTTTAACCCATCTTGCTTACGCTTGTCACACCAGCAAATTTGGTCATTTACTATTTATTCCCACTTTCAGGTTGCTTTTTCTTATCCTATTATGAATTCCTAGGAAAACTGCCTGCTGCCTTGTAACTGTGAAGGCAGTGCTGTTGTCACTGTATATCTTCATCCCACTGACAACACCTGATGTGTCCCTGACCTGGTGGTGTAGCATGTTCTATGTTTTGTTATCATTTCTGTGAGTGTCTGGGTTTGCTCTTTTTCATCAATGAACTAGCTCACTTCACAGCATGCATGGGTCATTCCTTGGCGGGGCAAAGGAGCAAGGAGGACATACCCATCTCTCTGTGACTGCTGACACTTTCCTTTCTCTCTTGTGTCTCTTTCAATTGCTTTTTCAATGAAAAAAGGCATCTTCCACCACTTTTGTTCTTAAAACCAAGATTCAACAAAGACTTGTAGCACTTTCAGTCCAGATTCTGGGAAAAGGTTGTGTCACTGTCAGAATTCAGTGTGTTCCTGGTTTTGTTCACCTTCCTTGTGATACTAGTGTGTCACAAGAGACTGTTACAAGATTTTTGCAAATAAACCTGCATGCCTTGTGGGGAATGGGGTACTGCTCTTTTCTTTTTCCTTGTCCTTCCAGATTTTTCAAAAGTTGGTAAAAAGATGAAGCTAACATTTCTCCTGTCTACCCTGGTGGCATTATTATTTCTTTTTACTGAACTTGTCATTTGTAACCATATCTGTCATCTCAGCCAAGAGTATCAGCTGTGTATGTAGCTTTGCATCCTTAGAAAAGGCAACTCCAGTCCAAACACAGCCTGGTGCAGGAGAAGTGGCTGCCAGCTGGGCCATCTGAGTGAGTCTCCCTTCTCCTTGCAGGTGGGAGTACATGCACAACCCACCAGAGAGCTCCAAAGAAGCAGAAATTCTGGAGGTTCTGCGAAATCCCAAAGACTGGGTGCACTGACACAGATCATGAACAAGACTGATTGCTTCCACTGAGCCATTCTGAGAGAACAGGAATACCTGCAAACCAGCCCATTCAAGCTGCTGCTGTGTGGTGTTTCAGTGTGTCTATTTATACTCTTACCTCCTGCCTTAATTATGCTGTAGACTTGTTAGAACTTGCAAGTGTGTGAACTCATTCTTTTAGACTGATGGGCTAATCTTTCATCCCCTGTTGGTGTTGCCTTGTGAAGGTCTGGTGCAGGCCTCAGGGGGCTACTCTGCATGCTTTAGATGACTGCAAAATGGCAAACTACTGTGGTGTCTTCAGGGAAATGAAAGCATTATCTGTGCCTAAATAGCACTGCTTACCCTTATGAAATGTTGGTGTGCTTAAAAACATTTTTTTAAAGAATAAAGGGAATATTTGGTATTATATTAAACCTTAAACTGTGCTTTCAGGAAGCTGTGGAAAAGGTAGTACTTCACATGTATTTTGATGATGTCTTGATTGTAGAAGGGGGGGAAATGGTTTAAGATGTGCTGCAGCAGCATAACTTGGCTGATGTGGGTTGAGGTCTCAGTGTTACCTCATGAGAATGGAAGGATGGCTGTCTTTGAGAAAATCAGCATTGAGCAACTGTGCCGCGATCGATTGCACAGCAAAACAGTGCTGCTCAAGCCAGCTCCATTGCCAGGGAGGTCGATGGTGGATCAGGGCGCTGCTGCGTGCCTTCACACTCCTTCCAGCTTTGGACAATCTGATTGTCTTGTCTCCCAGCTCGAACTTCTGGGAGGGTTGAAAAGCAAGTGCGGCGTGGGTTTACTTTTCCCCCGTTTGAGGAAAAAGGGACTGCTCTATCTCCCCGTCGGGGAATCGAACCCCGGTCTCCCGCGTGACAGGCGGGGATACTAACCACTATACTAACGAGGAATTAGATATGGGACGGTTGTCTCCCTGCCGCCACGTGATACCAGCTCACCGGCCGTCGGCTCCTGGCGTACGGATGACGCCTGGCCTGGCCCGCGGTGGGATAGGGTGGGGAGAGGCGCCGGTCCAGCTCGCACTCACTGTGCCCCCGTGACCGCCCAAGTCCAGCTTCCTCTTGGGGGGTACCGCGTTCCTTTCCGTGTTACCCCTCCGCCCCTAAAACAAAATAAAGCGATTCTCTGCTAAGTCAGTAATCTCCTCATGGCCAAGGGGAAAAAAAAAAAAAAAAAAAACCAAAAAACCAGAAATTGGCCCGTACGGGGATCGAACCCGCGACCTTGGCGTTATTAGCACCACGCTCTAACCAACTGAGCTAACCGGCCACGTTGGTGAGGAGGAGCTGAGGAGCAGGCTCCGAGGCACTCCAGGGACGCTGCAGGCGCAGCCGCTGCCGAGCGCCGCTCCGCAGCATTCCTGCGATCGCTCTTCCTAGGCACCGCCTCGGTGAGCTGTTTCGGGGAGCCGTGGTACAGCAGCAAGGGCACCAGCCGGGGTGACGAGCATTCCTAAAAACTTGGGACTTTCACACCTTTCGTTTTTCTCTGCCTGCCCCCTCCTCCGGTGCGCGGGGGGCAATTAGCGGAGGCACGGAGCGCTCAGCGAGGCTGCGCCCCGCACACGGACGCGCACCTCCCGGCGGCACCACCGCATTCCCCAGCCTTCCCTCCCGCCCTCCTCTTGGCCACGCCGCGGACGGGGATGCGATGGAAAGAGTGATGGGTCATTCCCCCGGTGACGGGTCATTTGGATCACTTGTGAAATCAAGGCATTGATTAGAAAAATGCAGAAAATATTTCAGAATTAAATACCTCTGAGTCAGTGAAAAAGCTGTAGAGGAAGAGGACATCATCAAATTCCCAGCCCTTCCCTCACAAACCATCAGTATGAGTGCTAAGTTGAGCTCTTCTTTGTTGTTCCATTTGCCACTAACACAACCTATCATTAAATACATCAATGAAAAACATGCTAGGAAGCTAAATATAAGGTAATATCTGCATAGAGAAGCATATATAAAGGTATCATGACAACACAAGAGCTTCCTCAAATCCTGGGCAACATTTAACAGACGTGTTCCCACACTGCAGAAAAAGACTCCAAAGCTGCCACTGAGGAA